GAAAAGAAACTTGAGTCCCTGGTGACCATGGAGCCACCAATTCCCAGCATCAGTAAAGCTTCACTTCTTTAACTGAAAAAAAGAAGCACAAGTCTATCTTGTTCCATCATCTTTGTCTTCATCCCTGGTAACATGAATGCTGTTCCCCTGGGCACCGTGAGACAGGACAGACTCTAGAGACTCCTGGGCAGTGTGATAGCCACTCTGGTCACCAGCAAGGATAGGGTGCTGCTTCAATGCTCCTTCTTTCTCCTGCCCAGATTTTTAAATAAGAAGCAAAAAATGACCCTTTATGATTTCCTTTATACAGTTGAGGCCTTATATCTAAACTGTATACATAATCATTTTAATTTTTACTTACTACAAGTCTGTTGTTTTATATCTGAAATGTCACTTGAAATGCTGCCTTGGAACATTAAGTCTGAAATGGATGTCTTCATCAACCCTTCCCCTCAGGGCTCAGGGAACTATTTGGAAAAGGAGGCAGAAGGAATGTAAGGGCCAGATCGATGGATGATAGTCAAGGAACAGTGTTTTCCAGACACAACAGGACTGACACACTTATGAATACACAGAGACCGTGGCAGCATGCACAGGGCTGCACGGGTTCAAGCCAGATAGGGATCCAGTGCTAAGAGGAAAAGTGGACATGCGCTTTCATTCATAACCAGGAAATTACCTCCAATTGACAACCACTTGCAGAGGAGGCGTTATTTTCCTACAATGGAATCTCACTCAGTAGACAAGTCACATTTAAGGGCAGCCTCATGCCCACAGTAGATGCTGACTGAAAATGAGCTCAATGATATTTTTGTAGATGGTTTTGTCCTCTTTTGCTTTGTTTGAGCATTTTTCAAAAATCTTACTTGACTTCTGCTTCTATATTATGGTTTCCATTGTGTGTTTCTTATGGATCTTGATTTTGCGCGTCTGTATTTGTGTGTTTCTGGTGTCTTTTATTTGTTTTATTATTCTTTTTAAAAATTTGCCTGTTATTTTTCAAAAGCTAGAGATAGAATGGATGAAGGTGAATGTGTGGGGAGGTAGGATGATCTGCAAGGAAATGAGGGAGGGGGAAAACAACATCAGACTATATCATCTGAAAAAATATTTTCAATTAAAAATGCTGTTTGACAAAAACAAATTTAAAGAAAAGCCTTGTATTCTCTTGAATTCAGAGACAGCATGCAAAGTGTACGTATGTGAGATTTTAAAATAATAATAAAAATTAAAAGTATAAATTAAGACAAAACCACACTAGTGACCATCGTGGAACTTAGTGACTACAAACCCAAATATGAGCATGGAGGACTTCCATGCTTCCTCTGCTCTATCCTACGGCTCCTACATCTTCCCACTCATCCACTCAGCTGCCTGGACCATGAAAGCTGTATGTAAAGATGTTAGAAGTCATGCTCCACTAGAATAAAGGAATACATCTCAACCAGAGGCAGTTTAGCACATAGAGATGTGTTTGTGTGTTATGACTGGGTGGGCATTTGGATAGGGCCTGAGGATGCTACTATGTGTCCAAGAATGCACAGGGCAGCCCAAGGACTGAGAGTCATCTAGTTCAGGATGTGAACAGTGCAGAGGCCGAAGTAGCTGTGTATAGAGAGCACCCCTTGTGCATTAGTCCTTCAGTTGTCTGACACTGTCATTAAAAAACACCTAGGGTTTACTTTAAGGATACTTATTGATTTCTTCACTTTCCCTCCATCTTGAAAATAGCCCAAGGGAGCTTTACCCAGTGGCCTAGTTAACACTACCCTAACCTGACAGCTTATTAGTTCCTGGTGGACAAGAGCTAACAGAAGGCTCATACTTGACCACGATGTGCATTTTGATGTTATCTCCTGGAGTGCTGAGACTTAATGCTCAGGAGTTGAACGTGTGTACTACAATCTAAACCCAACCAATTGTTTGGAGGCTTTGATTTCTATTTTGGAAGCCTTTTTAAAGGAATCACACATAGAGAGGGGCTGGTCAATGTGTCGACCCTTGTAAAACTTAAAAGATAGACTCAACAAGTTGAAACCTTAAGTCTAGAATAAAAAGTTATTAACATGAGGATGTTTTACAGGAGCGAGTTACAGAGCATGCCCATTGTCCTCATCCTGTTTTGCTCTAATAATGAGGAATATTAAAGTGATGACCTTGGGGACAGAAGGAGTGGCGTGTGGAGGAGCTCGGAGGCAGAGATGGGGTCACATGGTGGGACACTCCATGAGATAACCTCACTCACTCAGTCTGCACACTGTTACTTACTTTCTCATTGCTATGACCACAGATTTGACTGGTGTTAAAGAAGAGAGGCTTATTTTTCCCTTGGGGTTACAGACGGTTCAGTCCATAGTTGTTTGGCTGTGTTGACTCTGAACCCTACAGTGCAGACAGAGCATAAGACAGAGCATGCTCACCCCGTAACAACAAACAAGGCACAAAAAGCTCAGGAATAACCAGCCCCCAGTTACCTACTTCCTCCAGCTAGGCCTCCCTTCTACAATGCCCAGAACCTTCCACAACAGTGTCACCAGCTGGGAACTAAGTGTTCAACACGTGAGTCTGTGAGGGTGTTCATGTTCATGCCACAGCAAGTCCCCAATCAGAAGAATTTTTTGATCCAGCTCTGGACCGTGCCCTGCAGCAGATCCATTTACTTGGGTTTTATCACCACACCCCCTTATGCATTCATCTCCCTAGGGTGGAAGGCACTGGTGAAGGGCTGCAGGAAACAAAAAGAAGGCTGGGAGGAGCCTGTAAAGCTGGGATTACTCCCGGGTCGGAAGGAGGGAGGCTCATGCCAGAGATGAAGGAAAAAAGGCCATAGAGAGAGAAGTTATGGGGTTGAGAACATCCAGGGGTCTAGTCACATGAATGCTGGTGGGAATGTGGCACCATAGGACTGAAGCCTGGAAGGAGTGAGGACCAAAGATTCAACTGTGCAGACTGTCAATGGTAATGAAGGAGCTGTCGTTTTGGAGGGTTCAGGGCAGGAAAGGGACAGTTGACTTCAGCAGTAAGTAGGACGAGGGGAAAGCAAACGGTGGCAGGGTGGTTAGGATGTAGTGAAGGACTTCCATCAGAGCACTGCTGTTGTAGAGATAGTTAAGGAAGAGGCAGAGAAATGTAGAAGAACAAGGACAAATGGCTAAAACCAACCTGCCTGCCTGCCTGCCTGCCTGCCAGCTTAGCTGGCTCTTCTCCTTCTCATTCAGTCTGGGGAGGGGGCAGCCCATGAAATGATGCCATCCACATTCAGGGGAGGTCTCCCCACATCAATTAACCCAATTGAGCACATTCCTCACACTCATGACACAGGCCAGTCAATCTAGACAGCTCCTCATTGAGACTCCTTTTCCAGGTAACCCTAGATGGTGTCAAGTTAGCAATTAAAACTAAGTGTCACCGCAGATGTGTATGTGAGCATGTGAGTATGGCACATGTGTGTGGGATCTGTGTACATATGTGTGCTAGTGTGTACTTCTGAATGCACATTTGTGCCCATGTGTGTGGAGGTCAAAGGACATCAGGTGTCCTGCTATGTCACTCTCTATCTTGAGACAAAGCCTCTCACTAAACCTAGAGGTAGGCTGGTAGCCAGCACAACCCAGTTATTGTCTTGTCTTCCCACCTCTGACCACACACAGCTACACATGGCTGTGTATGTGTATCTCTGTGTGTGTGCATATGTGTGTGTATATGTGTGTGTGTGTGTGTGTTCTGGGAATTTTGGCTCAGGTCATCACACTTGGATGACAAGCATTCTTACCCACTGAGCCATGTCCCCAACCTCAGAGTCCAATTTTAACAGAATGTCTTAGTGAGGGACAGAGGAAACCAAAGCAATGTATTATAAACGTCTCTCTTGCCTGCCAGATATATAAATGAATAATCTTCAGTTTACCTGTAACCCTGAGCCCTTAGTCTTTTTTTTCTTTTTTGGTTTTTCGAGACAGGGTTTCTCTGTGTAGCGCTGGCTGTCCTGGAACCCACTCTGTAGACCAGACTGGCCTCGAACTCAGAAATCCGCCTGCCTCTGCCTCCCAAGTGCTGGGATTAAAGGCGTGCGCCACCACTGCCCAGCCACTGTGCCCTTAGTCTTAACTGTACTGATTATGAAACATACACTAAACTACTACTACTTATGCAAAGACTCCTGCTTATCCAAAAGAAAGCATTGGAGGGGCTGGCTGGGCCCTTCTCTACTGTTTGCATAAATGTCCCTCAGATGTCAGTATGTAGACACACTCCCCCATTCATGGTGCTTTTGAGAAGTGGTGGGACTTTCCGGAGGTGAGGCCTTGTGGAAGTTAGATCATTGGGGAGCATACTCTTAAGAGAATATTGGGACCTCAGCCCCTCTTCTTCCTCTTGTTTGTGAGGTGAGCATGTCCCTCCACCATGTGCACCTGGTGCTGTGCTGGCTCACTCTGGGCCCTGACACTCAGCAGCCATGGACTGAAAACTCTGAATCCGGGAGACAAACCTCTTTCTCTAGAGTGCTCCACCCAACACAGTATACGTCATAGTGATAAATAAGTAAACCATTTGCTAAGTGCTTTCATATAAAACTATTTTTTATGGAGTACCTAGTATAATCTGGGATTGTGGTAAGTTTGCCCAAGCTTAGAGATATTTGTTATAATTAATGATTTATATTTTAATTACATGCATGTGGGAAAATAGCGTTTGCATGCGGAATGCAGGTTGAGGACATAGGAGCCCCTGGGGCTGAAGTTACAGGTTGTGGGCCACCCTTCAGGGGTGATGGAAACTGAGTTCAGGTCCCCTTAAAATCAAGACACTCACTTAACCAGAGTCTCCTCCCTAGGCTTCTTCATTATAATTAAAACATATATTTCATCCTTATTTCAAGAAACTGATGTCCAGATAAAATTAAAATAAGCACTTGGCAAAACTGGTCACAACAACCACGTCCACTGGTACCAGCATGATTGTCCCAGGATCCCCCTGATCCACTCCGTTCTCACCCTCAGGCATGCGCCAAGGCAACGACTATGGCACACAGTACCGGTCAGCAGTCTATCCTACCTCTGCCACACAGATGGAAGCAGCCCTGAGATCCAAGGAGGAATACCAGAAGGTAGGGCCCCTAATTTTGTCCTTCCCGGGCCAGTGTGACCTGGGCCAGCCCAGTGTTAGAGGGAAGTTTGGCTCTGTCTACCTGTGTGACCATACCCTGAGGCCATTTCTGCCAGCCTCCTTGCAGGTCCACTGTACCAAAGAAATGTGCATAGAGAGTGTCTAAGGGTGGGCCTGTGTGTACTTCTCTTTAAAAATCAACTCATCCTGGTGAGTGAGGTGCTATTGCTCTGTCAGAATCTGTCTCACCCACAGACAGGCTTGTCTCTGTTCTGCAGCTGGAGTCTGGAATCAAGGCAGTGGCAAGGGGGCTGCTGGGGACTGAGGGAAGGAAGGGTCCAGATGCTTTCCTGTGAATGTCACATATTCTCCCCCTCTCTGTGTGACTCTATGTTCACTCCTGCATTTATAAGAACACTGGTCCTACTCCATTCAGGCTAACCCTGGTAACTTCGTTTAACTTGATGACTTCTATGAAGACCCAACTCCAAATAAGGCTGTGGACTAATAGCTTAAGGCTTCAGGCTCCAACAGATCCTTTCTGGAAGGCATAGATCAACCTGTGATATACATGTTCCATTGCCAGCTACAGTAAACTTAATTATAATAAAACCATTTATCAGAAATATATATATATTACACCATGAATTAATTTTTCTCACTATTAATCCTATAATCCTTTAGGAAAAACAAAAACAAAAACCTCCTCCAGTAGAGATTTGGGTCTCTTACAAGCAACTTGAGTTCTTTTAATTTTTAGAGTTCAGTGATGATACTTAAATTTTAATTATGATATTTTCTGTATTAACAATAGAGTTTGTAGCTACTTTGTAGCTGTAAAGCACAGTAGGACAGCCATCACAGTGGTAGAGTCGGGAATGAGCAGCAGGCTGGAATGCAGCTTGTCTGCAGTTGAGGTGTATGGCCTGGTCAGATCCACTATGATAGGAGACGGGGCTGAGGGAGATGCTGAGAGGGTCCCCTCCTCCCATCGTATATCTAAGGCTGTGATGTCAGCTTGGCTGACATGGTAGGCAGTCTGGGGCACAGTCCCTGTGACTGCTATCCAACACGATTCCCTCTGTGAGTCTGGGCTGAATTTTGTGACATTGCTTTTATTCTTTTCTGGAGACTGTGACATCAGGAGATCTTGATATTGAACTAGGAACCAAAGTGTCTCATAATGTACCTGTGGGTTCAGGGTGGGAGTAATAAGGCTAACGACATACTTAGGTATCAAGGAGACCACTTTCATGTCCCCCAGGTGGCAGATCTCAAGGTAAGGAAGGGGCTTATGTGTGAGGACTTTCTGGGATGGTTAGTACCAGGAAACTGGATCAGAGAACAGGAGGAGTAGAAGAGAGAAGGAGTTAGGCCCACACTGGCTGCTACCAATAACAGGTTACTTGAGCCTCACAGAATCACCTGCCATTCCTGGGAAGAAGTGTGTTTCCCTGGGAACCATCATGCATGGTGTTGCCTTGTACTTCTGGCTGTGGGGACTTTACCTCAGGGTAGAAGACAGGACAAGCTGCAGCAGTAAGGAGTGTACGATAGGCACATGAGCCCCAGAGCCTGAAGTAAAGGAGAAGTGCTTCAGATTAAGTGTATGCATTCCAGTTTCATTTATGTTGCTGTGATAACATATCCTGACCAAAAGCAACTTCAGGGAGAAACAAGTTCTCTTGCCTTACAATTTCAGGTTACTGTCTCTCATATCTGGTAAATCAAGGCAGGAACTTAAGTCAGCTATCCATATTATAGCAGGGAGTAGAAAAAGAAATAAATGCATACATACATACTGCCTCCCTGCTTGTACTTAGCTAACTTTGTCCTCTTTTATTCAGTTCAAGACCCCCTGCCTAGGGAATGGTGCTACCCACAGTGAACTGGGTCTTCCCATATCAATGAAATTAATTAAGACAACCTCCCACAGGCATGCCCACAAGCCAACCCAGTGAAGATAAGTCCTCACTGAGACTCTTACCCAAGGTGGTTGTATATTGTATCAAAATGATAATTAAAGCTAACCATCACAATGTGTAAGCAGCATCAAAAGACATCATCCACAAACTGCCCTTCCCCATCAGCTCTGTTTCCTAGCCAGGAAGGTCTGCTAGTTCCAAAGGCTGGTCCCACCATGAGACTCTGAGGTTGTGATAGAGCTGGGGAAGAAAAGCTCGAGGTGTCTTCCCGGAGGACCTCCTGCTGTGATCGTGTAGTCACGTGGGAGACAGCCTTAGATACAGAAGTTATGAGCAGAGTGATGTGCAGTACAAAAACAGCCTTATAAACGGCAGAGGGAGTCATAGTAGGATTGCAGCCACAGAAAAGGGTATTTATTGAATGCCAACCACTCTCCTAACTTTTGTTAGGAGAACAAAAATGAAAATCTTTTACAAATCTTTGGTTATTCGTCCATCAATTGCCTATGTAACTGTATCATCTGTCTGCCATTCAGCTGTCATTTATTTATATCATTGGTCATCTTTCATCTTCTTGTCATCTATCAATCTATTTATCATCTATGTGTAGATGTAATAGATACACTTAGATGTAGTTGTGTGTATTTCTCTATCTTTATTTAAAATTGCATATATTGGTATAGTTCTGAAACTTTGTTTCTACCTTGAGAGTTCCTGTGGGTTTCCGCCCATTCTCTTTGTATAGCTGATATCTGAAATTTACCTTGTGACACAATTGTCTTTTATTTGATAAATAAACCATCTTTTTTTTTTTTTTTTTTTTGGTTTTTAGAGACAGGGTTTCTCTGTGTAGTCCTGGCTGTCCTGGAACTCACTCTATAGACCAGGCTGGCCTTGAACTCAGAAACCTGCCTGCCTCTGCCTCCCAAGTGCTGGGATTAAAGGCGTGCGTCACCACTGCCCGGCACCATCTTTTCTTTTACATTTACCTTAAAAGTATTCTGGCTTCCAAATGGCTCCACATCATCAAAGTTGGTCCTAGATTCTGCCTTTTGTCACCACAGCTGGCCAGAGAGCAGCTTTGGATGGCTTTGCCTGTGTCTTATGTCAAGGCTGACCTTGGGCAAATTTCTGACAATAAAGACATTTACGCTTAGGGGCATTGTTTCTTCACAATACCAGTTAGACTCTTGCCTTCCATAATCTTGCCCCAAACATTCAGGCTTATGCTAAGAGTAGATACTCCTTCAAATCATTCCATATGCCCTCTTTTCCCTTCAAAGGTCGCCATTACAGGCCTTCTGTCCTGGCCATTGATCTTCCCTGAGTCTGCAGAGACCCTTGCATACTAACTATACTGTTGACTTAGGTTACTAATTTGATAGTCTCTGCTAGTATGTCCCCCAGTGACCTGCAGGAACTGGCTTCTTCAGCAACTTCTTTATATGTGGTGTTGGAGTGACTGCACTGCTTACCACAAAGCAGCCATTTGAACATAAAATTAGCTGATTTTATCACAGGGACCAATTGTTGAGCTAATTAGATGTGTAGGAGTGCTGAAGAGCCAGAAACTAAAAGTGATTTTTCCCTCCATAGTGTGGTTTTCTGTGTAGCTGGCTGGGCTGTCAATCCCAGGCCCACCAGCAACCTGAAGAATTCTTCTCACTTCCAATCTCCTGATGGTGGGTGGAGGCAGGAAGGCCCAAGCAGGAGGCTCAAACCTTGAAGCGTGAAACCCATACTCACCCGAATGAGTCAGACCCTCTGGGAATGGTAAGGGTACCATCTATGTGGGATTCCTTCATACTCAAAATGGGACTCCCCTTCATTTACAACTGTAGTATTCTAACCTCTGGTAGGTGGTGGCCTTGAAGTGTAGAGGATAGATTGTGGCCCAAGCACATGACCTAACTTCTTCCCAACTCCCCAAGGCTCATGAATGGAAAACTTGATTTCTTTGACTATTTTCCTTGTCAGGAGAGGAGAAAAATCAGCCCCCTTCCCCAGTATATTTTAGAGCATATTATGCTGTGATAAGCACAACACCTTTCTGAAGAATATTCTTAATTACTATATTTTAAATATAAAACAATGTTTAAAAATCTGTCTTTTTAGTCTTTCTGTCTGTTCATCTGTCCACCCACCCACCCATCCACCCATCCACCCATACTTTCAACTACTACTTGGTCTATCCATCCATCTACCCATCCGTCCGATGTTCACACAGCCTCTCTCCCAGCAGCCTGACCACTCTCCCATCCACTCATTCTTCCATCTATGCAGCATCTAGATCTTCTCTATATGGCCATAGTCTTTAAATAATGTCTATAATTTTATCTTAATTTTCAATTATTTGTCAGTTTTTCATCTATCATCTATGCATTTGATTATATGCAATACAATGTGTAATTTAAAGAAAAGCACCCCAAAAGAAGTATATAAAACAGCATGTAATGATTGCTTCAAAACAGTCAGCAATTTTTAAAATAAAGGCTCATTTTTGATTATTTTTGATTCTCTTCCTGCTTAGATTAAAGCTAGATATTCACTAATGCCACATCTTCCTAGCAAGACCGACGTGCATTGAGTGGGGGGCGGGGGCGATACACAGAAAGTCAGAGATGGAGAGATGGAAAGATTGTGTTCTCAAATAACCTCTACTTACCAATGACGTTTCTGCCACCTTTCTCTTTGTGTAGTGTAAACGCTAACTCTACACAATGATACACAGGTTCAGGGACATAAAAAGCTCCATGGCTTCCAGATCCCTGCATAGAAATGTACCCACTTGTTTATTTCCATATCCTTGTCCACACAAGTCATAGACTGAAGACTCTGTAATAAGTGAGTTCCTGGCTTCTTCTGCCCACCACTGACGGCACCCTGGGAGCCACTGTGGATCTATCCCTGTGCAGGCTGCCCAGGTGCATTAGTTTCTGTCCTCATTGCTGTGGCAAAAGGCTTGAGCAGAAACAACGTTGGGGGGAAGGATTTATTATGACTTGAAGTTGAAGATGGACATGGCCCATCATAGTGAGGAAGGCATGGCGGCTGGACCATGAAGAGGCCAGTCACA